GCTTATTAGCAAGTTTTAAGAACAGTGAGGAGCTAGGCACCAGTGTGTAATTCTAGCTACTTGAGAGGCAGAGATCAGGAGAACCATGGTTTGAAGTCAGCCTGGGCAAATAGTTTGCGAGATCCTATCTTGAAAATACCCAACACAAAAAAGGGTTGGTGGAGTGGCTCAAGTGGTAGAGCACCTGCCTAGCAAGTGTGAGGCCCTGGAAACAGTGAGGAGACTGGTGTGGGTTAGGACACCAGTGACAGGAAAGAACTGTGGAGAGGGGCAGGTTACACAGGACTTTGGAGGCTGTGGCATAGCCTCCGGAGTTTACTCCCAGTGGCACTAAAAGCCATTCAGAGTTTTCTCTGTCTCTCTCACTCTCTTTTTTGTCACTGCTAGAGACAGAACCCAGGGCCTTGTGCATATTGCATAAATGCTCTACCAAGAGCTGCACCCAACCCCCACTCAGCACTCTTTTTTTTTTGTGGGACTGGCATTTGAACTCATGGCTTCATGCTTGCAAAGCAGGCACTCTACCGCTGGAGCCACATCTCCAGTTCATTTTGCTCTGGTTATTTTGGAGATGGGGTCTCCTGAACTATTTGCCCAGGCTGGCCTTGACTGTGATCCTCCCCATTTCAGCTTCCCAAGAAGCTAGGATTTTTACAGGTATGAGCCACCACTCAACGCTCTGAGCAGAGAAATTACATCAAAACGATCACACTAATATGATATACTATTAAGCATTCCTGCTAAGACTAGGGTTCTGCAAGCTTCTTAAAAAGGGTCAAATAGTCAATTTTCAGGCTATATGGGCCACAAAATCTCTGTCACAGCTATTATAAACTGCCATAGCAGGGCAAACTGCCACAGACAATCCATACAAAAATGGACTGGCTATATTCCAATAAAACTTTAAAAATCAGGAGGCAGGCTGAAGTCTGTCACCCCAGCTGCAGATCTAATTTCCTGTGGGAAAATAGGCTCAGGGGAGCAAAGAAGACAACCAGAACGTGAGACATTCTAAAGGCGAGCCTGGAGACAAAGGGCTAAACTGGATTAAAATAGGAAACACAGCCTAGCTACTCAGGAGGCAGACATCAGGAGGATTATGGTTCGAAGCCAACCTGGGCAAATAGTTCTAGAGACCCTATCTCAAAAAACCATCACAAAAAAGGGCAAGTAGTAGGACTCAAGGTGTAGGCCCTTCAAACCCCAGTACCACCAAAAAAACCAAGAAATTATATACATAATGTGTATATATACATTAAAATAAAACAGGAAATACAACAGGTACCTTGAATGAACCCTGGTTTAAAGAACATTTTGAAGAAAACTAAGGAAATTCAAGTACGGCATAGATATGGAAAGAATATTGGTAAATACATATTCTAGGCTAAGTAACCCTTATCCAAAATACTTGTGATTCTAGAGATCTCGGAGTTTTTCAGAATCAGGAGGGTAGCCCAGACTTTACATATGTTTCAGGGCTGGTGGAGTGGCTCAAGTGGAAAAGTGCCTGCCTAGCAAGCGTGAGGCCAAGTTCAAAATCCCATTTCTAACCTGAAAATCTAAAATGTTCCAAAATCTGAAACTTTTCAAGCGCCATGTTGGCACACAAAAAGTTTTGGGTTTTGGAACATTTTGGATTTCTGATTTTCAGAATAGGGATGCTCACCCTATACCTGCATAATCATCTTCAGTGTGGTGGTTATATTATTATTTGTAGGAAAAAGTCCTTCTTAGAGTCACCTGCTGAAGTAGTAAGGAGTGAAGTGTCACAAGTATGAATCAAATTGAAAGATTTGGCATAAAAATTTTGTAAAAAGGCCAGATGTGGTCACTCATACCTGTAATCCTAGCTACATGGGAGGCTGAGATTAGGAGGATCATGGAGGTTTGAGGCCAGCCTGAACAAAAAGTTCATCTCTTCAATACAAGGCAGGTGTAGTACTGCACACCTCTCATCCAACTGTGTGGGAGGCTGAGATCAGGAGGATCACAGTTCCAGGCCAGCATGGGTAAAAAGTTAGTGAGACCTCATCTCAACCAATTAAACCTGGATGTTGTGGTGCACACCTACTCTGGAAGACTAAATGGGAGGCTAGCAGTCCACGACTGTCCAGGCATAAATATGAGACTTTATTTGAAAAATAAACTAAAAATAAAATGGGATGGGGGCCTGGCTCAAGTGCTTGCCTGCAAGCACAATGGCCCTGAATTCAAAACCCTGTACTGCCCCTCCCCCTAAAAAATTAAATAAATAAATGAAAATAAAAACAAGAGGTTCAGCATACAACAGCAGATGAGGCAAACACTGTAAGCCATGAACACTGGGCCAGCTTCAGTGTATCTAAAACAAGCTGCCAACAGTGTGAGGGAAGTGAGGGTTCCCGGCTGCCTGGGGAAGGGAGGAGAGGCACCAGCAGCCCAGCACAGAGGGTGCTACAGTGTCAGGCAGCATATAGCCACCAGTGCTCCTCCTGTCTGCCTGCCATCCTGTCTCTCCCCAGGCTCAGGGCCAGTAGCCTCGGGCCCACATGGGGCAGCAAGGACAGCATCAGTCAGCACTGAGCAGAGCAGAGGGGGCATCCATCTTACGCATTTCTGGCTCATGCTCTCTCAGTACTAAGGCCTAGAATCTGAGCTTTGTTCTCTCTAGGGCCACCCAGTTCTCTTTCCAGTGACAGCAGAAGGTGCTAAGAAAAGGAGGAAGGCAGGAGCTCTCCAGCTCCCACAGTCTTAGTGATGGGATTCTCCCCACACTGAAGGGCAAGTTGTCTTGCAAATTCAGAAGCTAGATCATCTCTTTGGCCTGTTAAAGCACTCTGCCAGCTTCCCCGTGCTTCCTTCCCAGCTCCCACACTGTGTGCCAGGTACTGCTGAACGCAGGCTTCCTGTTTGTCATCCCCTGAATCTCTAGGAGCCCCGTGACAACCCCCAATTTATTCTGTGCCTGCCAAGCCCTGCAGGGATCTCCATCTGGGGGCCAAGGCCTTGGCTGCATTCTCCAGTTCCAAGTGCCTCTGCCTTCCCCTCTTCCAAGATGCCCGCCCCTTGATTCTGGTGATGCAGAACCCTGTGTGGTCCTTAGGAGCTGTTCCCCCCAATGCCTTGGGTCCTCTGCAGATGCTAGTCAATCAGTTCCTTTTCCTGGACCTTTCCCCTTCCTAACTCCAACTCCTACCCATCCTTCAAAACTAGCTTAACACCCAGGGCCTATGCTCCTATTAATCTAGATTTGCTTTTACTGGCAGCCCGTTTTGGTCCAGTTTTCACTGAGCAACACCTCAGCTGACCTGAGATGGTAAAATTGTTCCCCTTGGTGGGGCGAGTGTATTTTTAACCTTGGGGAGATATGCAACGATAACTACAGTATAGACTGTGGTAACTGACATCTTGTGATATGGTTTTGTGCAGGCTTGAAAACTGCAGTGTCCAAGAAGGTAGTTGCTGGTCAAACATGTGGCTACTGAAACTGACTGAAAGTCAATCAAATCAACCCATCCTTCTGCTGCCATACTTCAAATGCTCAACAGCACACAAGGCTGGGGCTCCTGTACTGAACAGTAAAGGAAAAGCAATCCCATCTTGGCATGAAGCTCTCTTAGATGGTCCTGTTTTAGGATTCCTCAGGGGGACAGCTAAAGCTGTCATGGACAAGCCAGAGAAGTGTTCCTCAAAGTAAAGTATAAAAGGACAAAGTGGAAGGAAGAACATTTGCCACTCATTACAACTGGCTAAGTTCCCTACTGTCCAAAGAGCTTTCAGATATAAATAAGAAAAAGACCAACTAATCCAGGAGAAAAAAAAAAAAGAGAGAGAGATAAGCTACACGAACAGGTAGTTCAGAAAAGGAAACTCAGGGCCCTTAAAGGTCAAACTCATCCAGAGAAAGAATACCAGCAGTGTGCTTCCCACTGCTCTGACTGGTAAAAATGCAAGTGTTTGAAAACACAGGGCTGTAAAACGGTTCCCTTACATATCACCTGATAGAAAACCCTAAAACAGATGGCTATTCCTGTGACCTGTCAATCCCAAATCTCAGAACTCACCCTACAGATCAACCTGCACATAAGCAAAATGAAAACAGCACAGGGCAGTTCACTGTGACACCATTTGTAATGAGCCAGGGGGGGCTGGAAACAACCCCAGTCACCATGATTAAAGAACTGCTAAATAAAGTTAGGGACACGTCTGGCTATAAAAAAGAAAGAAGAAAAACAAAAGAACTCTGTGCTGCTAACAGTAGAGAGGCAGAAAGGTCTCCAGGACACATTGTTCTATGAAAGCAGCAAGTTTAGTGTGTAGCAAAATGTAACCTCTAGGGCACAGAATGCCAAGGTCTCCATATGCTCTTCCAGGATGCAAAGTGGGGAGAGGCTGCACAGAAGGGACACAAGCAGCATGTTTCACCAAACATGGACCTCCACGAAACCAATGTGACTTCTTTTCCATTATTTGTGTGTGTGTGTGTGTGTGTGTGTGTGTGTGTGTGTGTGTGTGTGTGAGAGAGAGAGAGAGAGAGAGAGAGAGACAGAGAGAGAGAGACCAGGGATGGAACCAGAGCTTTGTGCATGTCAGGCAAGCGTTAGCACTGAGCCACACCCTGGTCCCAGTTTGACTCAGTATCATTGGTTCTGATTAAAAAATGAATCTTTTTAATTGACTGTCTTGATCAATGCCTTAGAATCAGAGATGCTCACTGGGAATGCAGCTTCCTGACCCTCTGCAGCTGTCCAAGAAACCAGAGGCTGAGTCAGACCCACAGGTCCATAGCTGAACCAGCTCCTCCCATGACTCCGATGTGCTCTCAGCTCTGAGGACACACAGTGGGGTCTTCAGACCAAGAACCCCAGTTCTTCTTGGCACCAGTCAAGAGTCCCTGCACCACAATGGCTACAGATGGACAACTCCTATTTAGGAGCCCAGGAAAATCTGTCCATCTGCATCCCTCCCCTTGCCAGGCTTGGTTCCTCTCAAAAGGCAGTCGAACAGAGGCCCAGACTCACCTCTCATCGGGGGAGTCGACATGGAAGGTCCTCTCGATGACGGTGGTCCACTGTAGGCAGCGGATGACGAAGGTGTTGGGTCGTGGCCTCTCAGTCTTCATCAGCTGGCATTCTGCAGGTGGAGAGCAGGAGGAAGGGAGTAAGAGGGTGGCCCTAGTGATTTGTGGACCACATTCCTCAAGCCATCTTGAGGCGTGGCTCAAGAAGTAGAGTGCCTGCCTAGCAAGTGTGAAGCCCTGAGTGCAAACCCTAGTACCCCCCCACACACCAAAAAAAGAAAAGGGCTGGGGGCACGGCTAAAGTGGTAGAGCACCTGCCTGCAAAGTGCAAGGCCCCCGATTTCCAACCCCAGTACTGCCAAAAAGGAAAAGAAAAAAAAAATTCACAAGCCACTCCTGTGTGCCAGTCCCATGCCAGGTGGTATTAGGGACCTTTTAATGACAGAGACAGCCCTGGCCTTGCCTTCACAGAGCTCAAGGTGCAGAGTGTGTGGAAAGCTATCAGACCAGCAGTGACAAGTAGCCATCAGGGAAGGGATGGGGAAAACCAGAATACGCATCAGGGAGGGTGGCTCCAAGGAAGCAGCATCTCTGAACTGAGTCCTGACAGCAAAGGGACCGCATCACACAGAGGGGACATTGTGTATAATAACCCAGGGGTGAGCTGAGCCCCATGTACTCAGGAGATAGCCAACTCTGCTATAAGCATGAGGAGAGGAGAAATGAGAGCTGAGCCGGGAGAGGGGGGTGGGGCATGCCAAGTAGACTTTTGAGGCCCTGATGAGGAGTCTGGTCTGTCCTTATAGCAGCAAGGAGCCATAGAAGGGATGTGGACAGATGGCAATAGAAGGGAAGACTGGAGGCTAGAAGGATGGGAGGAGGCTGGCACAGGCCTGCCTAGAGGATGGGCTGTGGCAAAGTGGAGCAGGGCAGGGGGTAGGGGAAGAGGGCAGCAGGCTGGAGAGAAGACAAGGAGGAAGAGAAGACTGGGGAAGGAGGCAAGAAGGTCAGCTTGGGATATGATGAGTATGAAGGACTGAGAGTCCCCTCCCTGTAGGGAAAAATGTCCAAGAAGCTGCTGGAGATAGACTGGGAATTCAAGCAAGGACTTGGGGCTGGTGACAGGCATGTCGGGGGCACAGGCACATGGGGAGAACAGCCAGGAAAGGTTTTCTGCAGAATAGTATGGGCTCTGGACTGGAGCCCAGACACTGAGGAGGTAGTCTGGGGGTGAGCCTAGAGAAGAAGCAATGGCAGGACTAGGAGCAGACAGGGTGGGGGTGGGGTGGCAGTGGTGGAGACAGGGCCGACGAGAGAGCATTGTAAGCAGGCACCACCACAACAACATGGTGCCAGTTAGGTCGCAGGGAAAGGAGGAGGCAGGGGACCAGGACAGGCAAGGACTTTAGGCTTGTGAAGTTGGTCCAGCTGGAAAATTCACATAGGGCACCGTAGAGGGAATGGAAGCTGTGAGGCTGGCCCTGCAATTAGCTGATTGGGAAGCCATCATCCAGCTAGGTAAGAGGGGTGGAGGAGGAGAATGCTACCAGGAAGATGGCTACCAGGAAGATTGAACACAGGGCCTGCTAGGGCTGTAGCTGGGGCCGGGGCTGGGTGTACAGAAATGCCCGGGCTTCTCCCTGTTTCTCACTTGCCACCTCCTACCAGGACAACCTGATGTTGGGAGGGACAGGAAGGAAGGGTAGAAAATGGATCTAAGGACAGCAGGCTGAGGGCAGGCTCCGACTCAAAACCAACAGAGTCCCATGTGCCCCCAAGATTTGTTGGCCCTTCTCTAAGCTCCAGAACTCTGGCCTACTCACTCCAAGACACACCTGCTACAGAGAAGTTGTTTAAAGGGGGTAAGGTCTGGTCGGGGGCCTCAGGCCTCTCCTTATACCCGATGAAGGAGCCATCACTCTTCAGCAGGAAGTACCGGGGCCTCCAGGTCTTGATGTATTCACCTGAAATGAGGGAAGCAGGAGGTCAGGGCAAGACTGAGTGGCATCCAGGGTGACCTCTGTGGTGACTCACCACAGAGGGTACAGCAGTAGAAGGGTAGAGGAGGGCTTCTCCCGGGGGAGCCCTCAAGGTGGCACCTGCTGACGAAGACTGGGGCACTGAGCTGGGATGAATGATCTATAGGTCATGCCCGCCGGGAGGCACCTGTGGCAGTGGCCCAGGGCATCAGCTGCTTTACCATGTGGCCAGCAGTAAGCTATCCTAGCCAGTGTGGTCAGTCCTAGGGGAGGCCCAGGCCGTCAAACACATGCCCTGGGGCCCTATAAGGCCAAATCCCATGGGCTGGTATTCACCAACACAGCCATGCAGGTGGACCAAATGTCAAAATATTTCTGTGTCAGGCAGGGTTTAAGTGCCATTCCACCTTCTAAGCACCTCTTGACTTGTTTCATTTGTCCTGATGGAACCCACTCCTCTAAGGGTTGCTAAGGATTAAAATGAGGTGAAGCATATTTTACACAAAAACTTGTACACAATTGTCCACAGCAGCATTATTCATAACAGCCAAAAAGTATAAACAACCCAAGTGTCCATCAACTAATGAATGGATAAACAAAACAGTGTGGATCCATACAATGGAATACTATTTGGTCATAAAAAAGTAATGAAGCATTGATATATGCTCCAATGTGGCTGAGCCACAACTTATGCTGTTAGGTATATTCAGTACATTTCCAGCCTCATGATATTTTTAACTTATGATGGATTTATCAGTATGCACCCTCATCGTAAGTCAAGTAGTGTCTATATATAAGTTCATTTATATAAAATTTCCAGAACAGGCAAATCTATGGAGATGAAAAGTAAATTAGTTCTTGAGTAGGGCTGGGGAGACGGTAGAGTCTGGGGAGAGACTGGAGGGTGAGAGTTAATGGGGAAAGAGTTCTTTTAGGGTAGTAAAAATGTCTAAAATTGGGTTGGAGGAGTAGCTCAAGTGGTAGAGCTCTGCCTAGCAAGCATGAGGCCCTAAGTTCAAACCCCAGTACCACCAAAAAAAAGTCTGAAATTGATTATGGTGCTGGTTGCACAACTCTGAATACAGTAAAAGCCATTGAACTTGTAAAAGCCAGTAACTTGGCCTTATTCATAGACTTATTACATGCATTTCTGACCAAGTGTAATAAAAAAATAACAAATTAAAAAGAATCAAAAGATATTTCAGCTTTTAATTCCCATGGAGCATTACACAGCTCAGTGGATGTGGAGAAGCTCGTGGTCAGTCCCATATTGTCAGCTGTGTATAAACCATTGTGTCTGCTGCTTCCCTGCCCTTCATTGTGTGAAAATATGCCTCCCAAAAGCAAGTGGTGCCTAAAACACAAGGTAAAGCTAAAGTACTTAATTTAAGTGATAAAGTGAAAATGTTAGATTTGTGGAAAGGTGGTATGTTTTTAGAAGGTGGACGGCATTGTGGGAAAAATGAATCAAGCATCTGCAGTACAGCATTACACTCTTTGCATCTTTGTATCTTGAGCATGCATGATTTTTTTTCTCTACAGTGGTCTCCCTGGAATCAGATATCCATGGATACCAAGGGTCTGCTATATACTTTAAACAGCTGAGTCACAGGTATGCGAATTATATCTCAATAATGAGATGTCAACCATGAAGCACTCACTGAGGGCTCAGCACACCACAGGTGCTCACTAAGTGATGAAGAGAGGAGAAGGGGAGGGGAGGGGAGAGGAAGGGAGGGAGGATATCCCAGGAAGGCAAAGACAGTTCAATATATGGAAATTGATGTAATCTACCACATGAATAGAATGAAGAAAGATGGCACGGTCCTGTCAACTGACACAGAAAGCATCTGACAGATTCAAATATTCAGTAAGCCAGGAACAGAAGGGAACTTCCTCAGTGTGAAAAAGGGCATCGATGAAAAGGCCACAGCTACTGGCACACTCAAGGAGGAAAGACCGGAAAGTTCCCGATACCAGGAACAAGACCAGGATGCCTGTTTTCACCACTGATATGCAAAACTGAACAAAAGGCATCCAAATTGAAAAGGAAAATGTAAAACTACCTTTGTTTCCAGGTAACATGATCCTACATAGAGGAAATCACACAAAATCCACAAAATCGGCAGCTGGGAAGCATGCTCCTATAGCCTCAGCTACTACAACTGCTGTGATGCCAGCCTGGGCAACACAGAGAGACTGAACTTCAAGAAAAAGAGGTCATTAAACACATAAAGTAATTACTAGGGCTAAAAAGCTCAACACAAAAAAATCAGTTGCAGGGCTGGCAAAGTGGCTCAAGTGGCAGAGCGCCTGCCTAGCAAGTATGAGGCCTTGAGTTTAAACCCCAGTGCCACCAAAAAAAAAAAAAAAAAGAAATCAGTTGCATTTTTATACACCAGCAACAAACAATCAAGAAAGAAATTAAGAAAACAGTCACGAAGCTGGTGGAGTGGCTGAAGCAGTAACAGCACCTGCCTAGCAAGTATGGGACCCTGAGTCAAACCTCAATGCTGCCAAAAAAGAAAAAAACAAAACAAAACAAACAAACAAAAAAAACTAGTTCCATCTACAATAACCTACAAAAGAATAAGATACTTAGGAATATTTAACCAAAGAGTTGAAAGAGTTTCACACTATAAAACATTGACAAGAGAAATTAAAAGACTTAAATAAATGCAAAGACATCCTATGTGCATGGATTAGACTTAATATCATCAGGACAACCATACAACTCAAGAGTGTCCTAGAGATGCAAAAAAATTCTATCTAAATTCCAACAGCCTTTTGTTTTTTTTTTCCTTTTTTGACAGAAATGGAAAAGTTAATCTTCAAATTCACGTGGAATTACAAGGGACCTCAAGTAGCCAAAACAATACTGAAAAAAGAACAAAGTTTAACTCTCTTTGTTGTCCTTGCTTTGGGTTTTTTGGTGGTAATGGTGTTTGAACTCAGGGCCTTGTGCCCTAGGCATGCACTCTACCACTTGAGCCAAGTCGTCAGTCCAAAAAAGAAAAACTTACTACAAAGCTACAGTAATCAAAATGGTGTGGTGTAAGGACAGACATATCACCCAATAGAAAAGAATCAAAAATCAAAAAATAACTTCAAGCATCTATAGCCAATGGATTCAACAAGGGTTTCAGTAGGAAAGAACAGTGTCAACAGATAGGTGTTAGGACAACTGGAAATCCCTATACATAGGAATGCAACTGGACATCTTCCCTCACAGCACATACCACACACAAAAATTCATTCAAAATGGATTGACCTGATAGGAATTAAAACTATACAACTCTTACTTCACATTTGCAAAGCAGCCATGCCTCTGTCCTTTTTGCTCTGGTTATTTTAGAGACAAGGTCTCACTTTTTGCCCAGGCCAGCCTGAGCTGCAATCCTATCTTTCACTCTTCCTGCCACAGCTGGGATGACAGGTGGGTGCAGCCACACTTAGCTTTTTTTTCTCTTCAGATGGGCTCTCAGGAACACTTCTATTTTTTTATTGGTTTTTTGGTTTGGTTTGGTTTGGGTTTTTTGGCCCAGCTGGCCTGGAACCACAATCTTCCTAATCTCAGCCTCCAGCACAGCTTGAAATAAAAAGTGTACACCACTGCACCTAGCTATCAGTTGAAAAGGGGTCTCGAAAACTATTTGCTTAGGCTAACCTTAAACTGCGATCCTCCCAACCTCCACCTCCCATATAGAGCTCTTAATTTTTAGCACACATAGGATTAAATCTTCAGGACCCTGGTTTTGATAAGTGGACTTATCAAAATTGAAAATGTTCATGCATGAAAAGACACTATCAGGAAAGTAAAAAGCAAGCCAAGCATGTGACGCACATCTGTCTTCACAGCACTCAGGAGGCTGAAACAGAAGGATGCAAGTTCAAGGCAAGCCTGGGCTACACTAGCAATATGCTGACCAAAAAGAGAAAAAAGAAAGCAAAAAGATATCCTACAAAATAGACAAAAATATTTGTAAATCATATATATATACTGCTGGCTCATGTATGTAACCCTGTAAAGCTACTTGGGAGGCTCAAGGTTTGAGGCCAGCCGGGCAAATAGTTCTAGAGACCCCCTATCTCCAAAATAACCAGAGAAAAATGGACTGGAGGCATGGCTCAAGCAGTAGAACTTGCAAGCACGAAGCACTGAGTCCAAATGCCAGTCCGCCAAAAAGAAAAAGAGTCTAGCATTCACAACACACAATATACAAAGAACTCTTACAACTCAACATCAAAAAGACAAACAGCCCAACTGAAACGACTTAGACATTTCTCCAAATATAGATGAGGGCCAACAAGCACGTGAAAAGAGTCTCTGTATCATTCAATAGTCATTAGAAAAACAGAAATCGAAACCCCAAGAAGGTACCAATTCACACACACTAGGATGGCTGTAACAGTGATAATGATTTAAAGCCGGGCACCGGTGGCTCACTCCTGTAATCCCAGCTACTCAGGAGGCAGAGATCAGGAGGATCGCAGTTTAAAGCCAGCCCCAGGCAAATAGTTCCCAAGACCCTATCTTGAAAAACCCACCACAAAAAAGGGCTGGTGGAGTGGCCCAAGGTATAGACCCTGTGTTCATATCCCAGTACCAGAAAAAAAAAAAAAAAAACATGAAAAATAAGTGTGAGTGAGCCCAAGGTATAGACCCTGTGTTCATATCCCAGTACCAGAAAAAAAAAAAAAAAAAAACATGAAAAATAAGTGTGAGTGAGCACATGAGGACATGGAGAAATTAAAACCCTGCTACATTTCTGGTGGGAATGGAAAATGGTGCGGACACTGTGAAAGTTTAGTGATGCCTCAAAACGTTAAGTATTGAACATATTGTAAATTATAAATACAAAAAATATGACCCATGTTATATAATTACATATTTATGTACCATGTACATTGTATTAGATTATAAATATAGATCACAAATACAAAATATACAACCCAGCAATTCTGCCCCTAGGTATGAACACAAAAGAAAATGTATTCAATTATACTGTACATTTTGTTGATAGCAGTACTACTCACAATAGCCAAAAGGCAGAAGTAACCCCAATGTATATATCGAAGAGATGAATGGATAAGCAAAATGTGCCATAGCCATACAATCAATCATCTGACCACAAAAAAGAACAAAGCATCCACACAAGTTATAAAAGAAGAACCTCAAAAACATTATGCAGGGGCTGAAGGTATGGCTCAAGTAGTAAGAGTGCCTGCCTGGCAAGTGCAAGGCTCTGAGTTCAAACCCCGGACTGCCAAAAAAAAATTATGCTAAGTGGAACAAACCAGTCATAAGAAGCCACATATTATACAACTCCATTTATATGATGAGTCCAGAGCAGGCAAATCTGTAAGAACAGAAGGCAAACTGGTGAGTGCCAGACGCTGAGAGGAAGGTGGGGGATGAAGTCTGACTGCTTAATGGGTATAAGGTTTTCTTTTGGAGTGACGAAAACGTTTTGGAACTAGATAGATGTAATAGTTATACAACATCGTGACCGTACAAAAGGCCACTGAATCGTACAACTTAAAATGACTAATTTCATGTCATATAAATTTCACCTCAATTTTGAAAAAAAGACAAAAACTGGGGCTGGGAGTAGTAGAGCGCTTGCCTAGCTGAAGCATGAAGCCTTGAGTTCCATCCCCAGCACCTCAAAAACAAAAAACAAAAACAAACCTAGACAAACTCATTTATGCAACTGAAGTATGGACAGTTACAGCCTTGGGAGGGTATGTGGGCTTCTGGTGACCATCTTGTATTTCTTTACCTGGACGCTTCCATGGGGGTGAGTTAACGATCCAAGGCACTTGTCTGTGGTGTTCTGTACTTTGGTAACAAGAAAGGAAAAATAGTCTCATAGTCTTATCTCTATATTCAAATGAGGAAACTGAGGCCCAGGGTGGTTCCCTTACTTGCCAAGACATACAACTGTTACCTGGGAGAGCTGCACTGGAGTTCAGAGCCCACACTCCCAACCACAATGTTGGCCTCCTCCACATTGGCAACAGAGGCCTGTGCAGGATGCTAGCAGAGTGTAGACACTCTGCTCTGCTAATGGTGGTGACAGTGTGCTAAGGATGTGTCACAAACAGGACCAAAGTATGGCACAAAGAACTCCAGTCAGTCATGCTCTCAGACACTGCTGATGGAGGCAGTACAAGGGCCAGCCTCAAGCGCACTAGTTCAGCAACCTTGGCTCTGCCACCTCCGCTGAAGCCTTAGGCAAGCACTCTTACTGCCAGTCTGTAAGAGGGCAGCTACCTCACAGGACAGCTATGAAAACTCAATAGCAGGCTGCCTGGGACAGACCCCAGGGCTTGGCACAGATGGATGCTCAGTAAACCAGTACAGCAATTATCTTAACCCATAGGGGTGGGGGTGAGTTGGCACAGGTGCCAAGACAGTGGCAGGTAGCAATGCCCACCTTGCTGGCCTACCTCTGCCCGCCTATGCACTGGAGAGACCCAGGGAGGGAAGAGAGTGAGTGTAGCATGAGTGTATATGTGTATACATGTCTCGTACAACCAAGGCAGGTGTGTTCAAACTGGGCCATCCCAGCAGACAGGGCCAGGCCTGAGACCAGCGCATCTGACCCACTGCAGTGACACCCTAAGAGGAGCCATGACCACCTAATGCCATCAGCTGGGTCTAGACTGGAGACAAAGTCCTCAGCCCTCAGCAGTTCTCCAGTCACCTACAGGCCTCCTTGCCCCAGAGCCTGGAGCTGAGGGACAGGAGCTCTAGAGCCTGGTGTACCCTAGCTATGACACCACACACAACCCCCCCGCCAAAATCACTAACTCCACAGTCACTTGCCGGGCACCTCCTGCATGCCAAGCATTTTTTGAGGTCCTGAACATACTAAGGTGAAGAAGCCACATGAAAATCCTGCCCTCATGGTGCTGACATCAAAGGCCTGACTGCTAACCCACTGTACAGATGTGAAGTCAAGGCTCAGTGACACAGCTTACCCACTGTCACATGGAGAAGTGACAGAGCCAAGGTTAGAACCTTGGCAAATGTCAAGGTTCAGAAAGTTCTGTGGATAGCCCCAGACTCAGGGGTCAGCCTGAGGCTGGATTGAGGGGCCTGAGAAGACTACAGGAGATGGAGCTCCTCCTCCTCCTCACTGCTCTGATAGGGAGGCCTGGCACTAGCCCTGGGGAGTGGCCTCTGTCTCTCACTGCTGCCTGTGTCTGCAGGCTGGGACAGGCAGGACAGGTTCCTATCCCATGGCCACCTGCTCTTCTACAAACATGACCTGATTGCTCCCCTCAGACACTCTGACCATCCCCTCTCCCCATGTGCCACTGCCCTAGTGAACCACAGGCTTGCTCTCCTGGCTCCTCAGGGCAGGAGGGACTCCCTGCTCCCACTACCTCAGGCCACATCCTTCTCTTGCCACCCGCTTTTACTCTACTGCACGAAGCATCTCTTGTTATGTATGTCTGCCCTACCTGCCCCCCCAGATGCCAACCTGAGGATGGGGGTCTCCATGTCACACTCACTTTTGTGTCCTCAGGACCTAGAACAGTGCCTGCCCTACAGGGACTACTCCATAAATACACTTTTCAGAATGACTGAAGGGCACAGAACAGCTTCTCCAGCCCCCTTCTCCAGGAGAAGGCCCATGGAAGCAGTAATAAGTCGACTCTTAGCACACACTGCTTCCTATCCAGCTGCCTCCCAGCCTCGCATGGCAGATGGATCAGAAGAAAGGAAGCCATGGGGTCTCAAGGTCTAGTCTCTTCCCTGTCCACCCCCTTGCCAGGATCTCGGATTTCCATCAACACATCTGGATCAAGTCCCGTCTGGCTCCCAACATCCCAGGTTTCCTATCACCTGCAGTTGAAGTTAAGGTCCCTTCCTTACATGACCTTCAGGACACAACACGGTTGGCTCCATGTCACTGCTCTGCCTGGCCTCCTGCACCTCACTCTTGCTCACTCTGCTCCAGCTATGCTGTTCCTAGAAACAGCAGGCACACACCTGTCTCAGAGCCTTTGTCCTCACTGTTCCTCCCTTGGGATGCCCTTGCCAAGCTCTCTGTGGCTCATTCCCGTATTTCCTCAGAGCGCCTCCCTGACTGACATGTCTCCCTCCAGCTCCTTACTTCCCAGGTTTTTTTCACAACAGCATTTTCTACCACCTAACGTCATATGTCAGCCTAATTATTTTTTGCTCCCACTCCCGACTGAACATGACCTCAGTGAGGGTGTCCCAGCATACCACATTATACTCTATAGATATTTATTGAATGAATGTTGACTACTACTTTGCTGTGTTACTTCAGTTAAATGACTTCTCCTCTCTGAATCTATTTCTTCACCTATAAAATAGGGTACGAGTGAGATTACTTATCACAGGCCTGGCCTCTGGACTCATGTGGTACCCAACTAGGCCTGGAGACTCAGACCAGGTAGATCCACAGCCCCCTTCCTGGATGACCCCAGAAGATATTAGTCTATAAACATGCAGGTGGGGCACTGGCTGGGGGCTCTGGAATGCTGTCTCCTGGAGATGGCAATCACCCTGCACCCTCTGCCCCTTGGGGTGCCAGAAGGGAGCAGGATGCAAGGGGGAGACATGCAATCTTGGTGGGCAAAAGCAGCCCCTTACCACGCTTGTGGAGCCAGCCTTCTTTGATAACAGACACCTCATTCATGGTGGCAGCGTGACACGCTGTCACCTAGCCTGGGACAGCTCAAGACAGCAGGACATGCAGGAGGTGCTGTGGACAGAGTATAGTCTGTAAGATAAGAGAAAAGCTGTCAGTAAGAGGGATTATACCCCAGCTTCCTCATTCAGTCTTCAGGCCCTCTGGCTGCCTGGCTTGCTTTGTACCAGCATAGCCAGGACAGGTGGCGAGGGCCCTCCCATAGGACCCCAGAGACCACAGTGTGAGGGAAGCAGAGCTGCCTGACCCAGGGGCAGCCGGGCTCTGCACCCAGTCCTCTCCCTCCACCCTTGCTCCTGGCTGGGCAACACCAACGTAGTGGCTACCCCACCCCCTGCATCACCCCCATGCCCCAGCACTGAGGTAACACAAGATGAATCAGACAGCCCTGGGCATTGAGGGTGTGCTCGAAGCCACCAGCATCTGTCTGCCCTCCAACATACACACACACACACACACATATGCATACACGTGTACAGACACTCATTCTCTCTTTTCCAAAATAGGGAGCCATCAATCTGCTGCCTTGCGTAGTCTAAACACCCCTTCGCCCAACACTGGGCCATCCCATGTCACTCCCCAGCCTCAGTTCCCTACCTGTCCCTGCCAGACAACAGAGGACAGACAAGTCTCAGAAGCTGTGGGATCCTGAACAAGCAATCTGCTGTGCACGAACTTGTCTGAGGCCCGGAAGTCAGACTGGAAGCTTGACCAAAGTCCTGGTCCCCTCCCCAAGACCTCTGTGTTCCCAGGGACCAGGAGCCGACAGACTGACAGACGCCGAGGCTACTGCTTCAGTCTCAGGTTCCCGAGTTGAGGAAGAAGGGCGCAAGGCAGCTGCCAGCTGGGCCCCTACCTGGAGCCTGGGGCCTGGATGGAGGCCATGGAACCCAAGGCGCCTTTTGCCTTTCCCAGCCCAGGGTTATTTGCGGACAGCAGGTCAGGAGCTGAGGAGGCCCCCAGAGAAGTGGCAGCTGGCTCTAGGGACACCAAAGGTATCAGCTTTCTCTCGTGCCCCAGGGGAGCTAGGGGGGCCGGACACGCTCCTGCCTGGCATGTGACAGTAGCAGACTGCCCAGGCCCTGGGCAGAAGGAAGGGCGGTAAGTGGGAAGAAGCAGGAGGAAAGACAAGAGGGACAGCAGGGAAGAGAACAGGATGGTGAGAAATCACATGCTGGACTTCAACTTGAAAAGGCTGGGAACAGAAATAAAGACCTCCCCACCACACGTGTGAAACTTCATACCACAACACACAGGATCCTGAGCCCTCAACCTTAAACATTCCACCAATGTCAACTTCCAACATACACACTCCTCTCCTCCCCCTCACACCATGGCCACTCTGCCAGGATCCCACTGCCCTTCACTGAGCTCCTCCCCTAAACCTGCCCCCTCCCCCCACCAGTAACTAGAGGGAACCTTCAATTGGACCTTATTCTTCCCCTACTCAAAACCTCTATGGTCCCTCACTGTCCTTGGCAAAAACATCCAAACTCCTGGGTTTGTAGCTCAAGGCCATCCAGGACCTGGCCTTGGCCGCCCTTCACTCCAGAGGCCTCCTACCCACTTGCCTGTGCACCACCCCTCTTCAGGCCCAGTACCCACAGCCCTGGTGGGCCATCTACAGGTCTGTCTGCGGCACCTCCTCCAGTCCTGTCACCTCACCCCTGATCCTTGCATTCCAGCTAACTCTGGCCCCACCTCTCCCTATTCAAAACCCTGCCTGAGCTGGGTGGCCTGCATTTGCAGAGACCCGCACCTAGAATGCAAAGGCTGACCACAGTGACTACTGCACCTCTCCAGCCTCCCGCCCACCCTGCTCTCCACAGCAGGCATTGGTGGCTGAGGTCCTGCACCAGACCTCCATTCCTATATCTTTTGCACATGCTCCTCCTAGAGGTCAGGGAACCAGTGCCCCCTTCTCATGGCACTGAGAGTCAGATGGGGCCCTCTGACTCTCAGAGGCTGCACAGGCCCCATCCCTATTGGTGCTACTTCCACAGCCAGCCCCACACGACATCACTGAGCAATGAATGAGCTAAGTCTCCCGAAGAAACCAGCTCAGACCAACACAGCTGTGGAAACACCCGCACCCTGCTTGTGCCACCAATCCTCCCCGAGTGTGTCTTCAGCTCCAGATATTAGAGATACAGCATCACTAAGACACAGCTCCTGCCCAGCCTTACAAAGTCCACACTCTGGCAGGACTGACAGAACCACACAAACACATGTCAGGTGACAGAGTGGAGCTGAGAAGGAAAAGGGGAAAGGATAACATGGAATGGGATGCTGTGGAGCCACACAGTGCAATGACACATGAGCAGACACCTAAAGTAACCAAAGGAGTTAGTGGTGCAGAAGTGCAGGGAAAGGAATTTTAGGCAGGAGAATGGCAAAAGCAAAGGCCCTGACACCGGAAGGAGCTGTGCTCAGGTGAACCTAGGGAGAACACTCAGGGTTTCTGGGCTGTGGCTGGGAGTTGGGGCCTGACACCACACTTTCCCCAGCTACAAGCTCAGTTCAGAACAGGTGGAGTTCTCTGGCAGAAAACTCAAGTCCAAAGGAAGGGCAGCTGAGGAAGGAAGAGAACAGGGATGGTGCCCAACCTCAGCTCTCTCCCACCCTCAATGAACCAGCAACATCCCTCTCGGAGCTTCCATGACCCAGTAGCACAAGGGTCAGCAAGAACACTAAAGCACCCATGGTGGACAGAGTGCTCACCACTGCCTGGTGCCCAATACATACACGGCTGCCACTGTTCAAAAGCTTAAGTGAAGGCAGCCAGGTGTGGCCAAGAGTGGTCAAGGTTCCAGAGTCCGAGAGCTGTCACCAGCTGGGTGGCCTTGGACGGGGCGCCGGTGCTCCCAACACCCCACCAGAGGGGCCATGACATGCCCAGGTGAGGACAGAGGCTCAAGATGGGAAGCCATTTACCTTGGGTCTCCTGGCTGAGTGGTGGAGGCCCTGGCTGCAGCTCAGCACACCAAAGCCACTTTTTACGACCTCCTCTCAGCGACTAATAAGTCAGTAGCAGCAGCTCAGGCAGGCTGGCAAGAGCAGGGGAGAAACTGGAAGATCCCCTGTGTCCTGCCTGGCTCCTGCCCATCCTCCCACTGAGGGTGGCGCCTCAACCGAGGTGTCTGTGACGCAGTCCTGTGGTGATGAAATGCCAGGCAGCAGAGCCAAGAGCATGGCCTGATCACTGGGGAGCTGCAGGCCGAGGACAGAGACCTGCCCAGGCTGCCCCTGTGGCAGGTCATCCCACAGCAGGGAGCCCTGGTGGCTCCACGCCCACTTGCTGCTTCCTGAAGGGCCCAGGCTTGAGTGTGCTGAGGGCCTGAGCTGGAACTACAGCTACTGACTAGACAATAGTTACCTGGACACAACGTGAAAAGAACAAGGGTACCTTGCTAGAGAGGGTACCCAGACAATTAAGGAACACACAAGCCCATTAGTCATGGGAAAATGCAGATTAAAATCACCTGCCTGGTGTAGCCAAAATTTAAAAAACTGACAATGTGCCAGGCTCAGCGGCTTGCAACTGTAATCCCAGCTACTAGGAAAGAGGAGACCAGAGGATTTTGATTTAAAGCCAGCCTAGGCAAAAAGTTTGCGAGACCCCCCTCCCCCCAACACCTCAACCAATAAAAGCTGGGTGTTGGTGCTGTGCACCTGTCATCCCAGCTATTTGGAATGTGTTACTAGGAGGATCACAGTCCAGGCTGGCCTGGGCATAAACACAAGACCCTATCCCAAAAATAACCAAAGCAAAATGGGCTGGGGGATGGTAGAGCACCAGTACCATGGTTCAGATCCCAGTACCACCAAAAACAGAAACAAAACTGAAAATGCCATAAGTTGGCAAAGCTGTAGAAGAGTGAGAACTCTTTTGGGGGTTGGGGGGAGACTAGGGTTTGAATTCAGGGCCTCCTGCTTGCCAGGCAGGCACTCTACCACTTGAGCCACTTTGCCAGACCTTTTTTGTGATGGTTTTTTTCCAGATAAGGTCTCTCCAACTATTTGCCCAGGCTGGCTTCATACTGTGATCCTCCTGATTGCTGCCTACTGAACAGCTACAATTATAGGTGTGAGCCACCAGCTCCCAGTGAACAATGAGAACTCTTATCTACTACTGGAGGGATTATAAAATTGTTAGGCCACCATGGAAAACTGGCAGTAAGAATTAAAATTTAGCCAGGCACCAGTGGCTCATGCCTGTAATCCTAGCTACTCAGGAGCCAGAGATCAGGAGGATCGAGGTTCGAAGCCAACCCAGGCAAATAGTTCTTGAGACCTATCTCAAAAAAAACCCATCACACACACACACAAAAAGAAGTGCTGATGGAGTGGCTGAAGGTGTAGGCCCTGAGTTCAAACTCCTGCACCGCAAAGAAAAAAAGAATTAGAACAATATATTTGACCCAGCAAGTCCCCAGCCCCCCAACAGAAATTAGGTTTGCAATATTCACAGAAATATTACAAGCAAAATGTGACAGAGCAGAAAACCCACTCCCCCAAAAGAATGGATAAACAAACTGGTAAATTCATGTAGAGTGGAACACTACTCGGCAATAGAAAGGATCACACAGGGAGGAAGCAGAAGAGTGTAAGACTGAGTGGAAGAAGCCAGGCACAAACAGCACAGCAAGCATGAATCATGTGCAGCAAGATCAGAACAGGCAGACTATGTCTGCTAGTGAGCAAACCCTTTTTTGCTATGCAAAAACTACACAGAAAATCAAGAAAGTAAGTATTGTAAAGGCAGGAGTGGCTACATTAGGGAGATGGGGGGCCTTCTAGGAGCTTACTGTGTTTCACTGTGGTCACCCAATAATGGGTTTACTGCACAATAAAGAGGGTCTCTGATGTTATTTCTCTGTACCTCATGACACAAGCAGGAGCCACACAGAACCCAGGTTCGGAAGTTCAGATGACAGAGGAGCCCAACCTGGGCCTCCTAGCCCCCAAAGCAGGTCTCCTCTGCAGGAATGCTGGCCTGCCTTAACCTACCTTTGGGAAGAACTGCTCATCCATAGTGAGGACTGCACTGTCCAGGACACAGGTTTCAACCC